GTGGGAACGAGTAATCTTAAATTTCTTTGAAATATAGGCTAGCAAAGGAGGTAGGCTACTCGCCTCTTCCTTTTAAAAAAAATTTGAGGGGTTAAAGCTGGGCAACTTATAATCTTTCAGAGTTTTTAGGGATTCTGTGGTTAGAGCTCTTCGGAGAAGGACTTTTTATATTCCTTAAATTTTTAAGATTTACTTTTATTATCCTTGTAGTTAGGTATTTAATGTTTAGTTTTGGTTTACTTTTTGAATAACTTAGGTTTGAAAGGTGGACAAAAGAATTTACCTAATCTTAGTAAGCTAAATCTTTAGTAAGCTAAAGAATTGTTTCTAGAAGTAGGGTTGATAGAAACTTCCAAGTTTATCTTAAAAATTTTAAGAAAAGTTCCTTGTACCAAAGTAATGAATAGTTTTGTCTTAGTTCTCTACTTTTAGGACCGTATTCATTAAATTCCCCTATAAAGAGTAGGGAGTAGGCTAGCTAAGAAATTTGTATAGACATTTAATAGAGGTATATTTTAAAACATAACTTAATAAGAGGAGTCTATCTCTAAGTAACTAGAGCTTTATTTTATAGTTTAGTGATAGTAGAAATAATTCCAGCGGCCTCTCCGTTTCTCCCGAGAGCGAGAAAGGAGGAGAGGTGAGCTGGGAATTATTTCTGTAAAGGGTGGATGATTTTTAGTTTAATTGCGAACTCCCATAAAATTTTAGGGTTAAAGTTAAATATCTTAAATTTTTTCTATTAAATAAGCATTAATAAAAAGATAAATAAAGAGAGATTTCTAAATTGTAGAATTTCTAAAAAAAACTCTTAGATAAGGTTGGAGGAGATAAGGAGAACTTAAAGATTGAGTTATAATTTTTTTTATAGAGTTAGAGAGTTATTGACATTTAGTAGCGGGCCATCGTTATACTAATTTAATTCTTTAAAATAAACTTGGATTATCTTTTGATATATAAAATTAAATTTGCTTTAGTTTAAGAGGGACATGAAAGAAGGATGGATAAGGGTTAATTAAAAGGAGAATTAGGGGACGGTTAGGGTAAATCTAAACTATTTAATTAAACTTTGGTTAAATCAGGAGGAGTTAGTAGAGTTTAAAGAGTTTTATTAGGTAATAAAGAGAGGTTGGTGGTGGGCAGGAGCTTAAATTTTAATAAAATTAGCAAGAAATTTACGATAGTAAGACGAGTATAATTTATGGGAGTTCTAATCTTTTCTCTCTTGGTGAGTTATACCTTTAGTTTAGGAGAGGATAGGCTTGTCAATTGTTTGAAGAATCCTTTTAAAAAAGGGGTTGTAAAAATTTCTAAAATCAAATTTTTAGAAGTAGAAAATTTGAGGAGGGTTAGGGGAGGAGAAGGGGTTGGAGGGTTCAAGGGGGATAGCGTCGACTGTGTTTGTACTGTTAAGTCAGGGGAGGGGATGGCGGGAGGAAGTTAGGGGTTCAGTCTTAAAATTTTAGGGGTGCGGGGCTCTTTCTATTTTAGTAAATTTAGGAAACTACAAAAGAGTGGTCGGAGAGGTCTCTCTTCAGTAGGTCTTAAATATGCTTCAAAAGGCAAGTTACTGTTGGCTTAATTTATTTTTTATTTTTAAGGGTCTATAGAGGTTTAAGGTGCGAACGAGTAATCTTAAATTTCTTTGAAATAAAGGTTAGAGAAGAAGAAAGGCTACTCGTCTTTTCCTTTGATAAAGAGAATTTGAGGGAGTTTTAAGCAGTGAGGGTAACTTATAATCTTTCAGAGTCTTTAAGGATTCTGTGTTTAGAGCTCTTGGGAGAAGGATTTTTTAAACTCGTTAAATTTCTAAGATTTACTTTTATTCTCCTTGTAGTTAGGTATTTTGAAGTCTAGTTTTGGTTTAATTTTTTGAATAGCTTAGGTTGAAAACGCAGTCAAAGAATTTAGTTAATTTTTAAATACCCTAAAAAATTATTTTTAGGACCAGGGTTAATAGAAACTTCCAAATTTATCTTAAAACATTTAAGGGAAGCGCCTTGTATTAAGGTAATGAATAGTTTTGTCTTAGTTTTCTACTATTAGGACCGTAATTATTAAGCTTCCCTACAAAGAAGAAGGGGTAGGTTAGCTAAGAAACTTGTATAGATTTTTAATGGAGATAAATTTTAAATTAAATAATTTAAAAAGAGGAGTATATCTCTAAGTAACTCTAGAGCTCTATTTTATAGGTTAGCGATAATATAAATAATTCCAGTGGCCTCTCTGGTTCTCCCGAGAGCGAGAAAGGAGGAGAGGTGAGCTGGAAATTATTTCTGCAAGGGGTGGATGACTTTTATTTAACTTGTGGAACCCTATAACATTTTAGGGTTAGAGTTAAATATCTTAAAGTTTTTCTATTGAAATAAGCATTAATAAAAAGATAAGTAAAGAGAGGTTTCTAAATTATAGAATCTCTAAAGAACTCTTAGATAAGGTAGGAGGAGAATTACTTATTAAAAGATTGAGTTATAATTTTTTTTACAGAGTTTAGTGAGTTATAGACATTTAATAGTGGGCCATGGTTATAATAATTTAATTCTTTAAAAATAAACTTGGATTATCTTTTGTTATATACAATTTAATTTGCTTTAGTTTAAAAGGAACGTGAAAGAAGCAAGAGTAAGGTTGGAATTCAAAGGGGAATTAGGGGACGGTTAGGGCAAACCTAAACTATTTAGTTAAACATACGTCAAATCGGGAGGAGTTAGTAGAGTTTAAAGAGCTTTATTAGGTAATAAAGAGAGGTGGCGGTAGACAGGAGCTTAACTTTTAATAAAGTAAGCAAAAAATTTATGATAGTAAGACGAGTACAATTTTATGGAGGTTCACTCATTTCTCTCTTAGCGGGTTAAACCTTTTGTTTAGGGAGGAATAGGCTTGTTAAATGGTTAAAAGAATCCTTAAAAAAAGGGTTGTAAACATTTTTTAAATCAATCTTAGAAGTAGAAAAATTTGGGAGGGTTAGGGAAGAAGAAGAGGTTTCTTAGGGGTTAAGGGGAGGGCAGCGTCGATTGCGTTTGTACTGTAAAGTTAGAGGAGGGGGTGGCGGGCGGGGGATAGGGGTTAAGTCTTAAAATTTTTAGAGGTGAGAGGCTCTTTCTGTTTTAGTAAATTTAGGAGGACTACAAGAGAGTGGTTGGGGGTCTCCCTTCAGTAGGTCTTAAGGATGCCCCGAGAGTCAAACTACTAGGGGCCTTTAAATATTTTGTATTTTTAAGGGTTTATAGAGGTTTAAGGTGGGAACGAGTAATCTTAAATTTCTTTGAAATATAGGCTAGCAAAGGAGGTAGGCTACTCGCCTCTTCCTTTTAAAAAAAATTTGAGGGGTTAAAGCTGGGCAACTTATAATCTTTCAGAGTTTTTAGGGATTCTGTGGTTAGAGCTCTTCGGAGAAGGACTTTTTATATTCCTTAAATTTTTAAGATTTACTTTTATTATCCTTGTAGTTAGGTATTTAATGTTTAGTTTTGGTTTACTTTTTGAATAACTTAGGTTTGAAAGGTGGACAAAAGAATTTACCTAATCTTAGTAAGCT